ACATGCACTGCAGTTTTGAATGTGCACAATGCATAACCGGTGCTTTACACATCTGTTTTTTGTACACATGACTGCATAAATGTTATACCAGAACTGTAAATTACCGTACTGTACAAGTACTGTACATTGCAAACGTCTTACTGACTATAAACCTCAAATAATGCATGTTTTCTAAAACAAGACTGAATTTATGCAGTGAATTTCACTGAACTTGGCACAACCTTGCACCATACATGTACATGTACATGTATGTACAAGTTTGTGCCATACGTAAATTCAGTGTGTAACTTGTGTGAAATATGTTGTAATTTGTTACACAAGTAATGCTTATACATTTACTGTAAATTTTGGCTGAAGTAGAGTTATGCAGATTTGTGTTTAGTTTTCATGAAATATGCAGATGAAATTGGCTGCTGATGTTCACTTGAGGGGCAGAATCTTTCTAAAAGGCGAAACAAGCATTTTATCTAAAAATTATCTGCTGGGATGATAGTACATGTACTACATACATGTACATGTAAGAGTTGAATTGGACCATCAGACTGTCTGACTTTTCAAGTGGAAACGTCAATCACCATTTATGATTTATCAAAGTCTTGCCAGCAAATTTGTTTATTGGGAAATGAGAAATTTTCTCTTTGTGCAGCCTGCTTCATATGCACACAATCATCAATCAGTTGCTGTTTAATTTTGATGGAATGACCTCCAGAACTCTCCAGCCAGCATGTACTAGTACGTGTACACTGTACATGTACATACATGTACATGCATTCTTCAAGGGAGCACTTGGCTCCTTCCTGAGTTCCCACGTTGCCCACCATCTTGTCATCATGTTTTGTGCCTTGGCAAATCACATCTGTCAGAAACAAGTACATATGTACATAGGTAAGTGGTTGCAGATGAGATTGAAGTACTAGGTAGTCTGTGCTTCTAGCACTTGAAGTTGATGCAAAGTACATGTACAAAGCCGAAAAATCTTCATGTATGGTACCTGGTACATGTACCAGTACCTAACTCTCTTTAAGCTTTTGTCAAGACCTTGTTCCCCATGTAAGAATATTCTCATTCACATATATACATGTACATGTATGGATACATGCAGCAAAAACAAGCACCCTTGCAGAATGAACACAAATTTACTGGACACCTGTACATTATAGATGTAGTTCCGGTACATTGTACATGTAGATGTACTTGTTTTTGAGAACTGAATACATGTATGCCCATCGTGTGTTTTCTTGCATCTTCTTGGGAAAGAGAGGTATCAGAGGAATAGAGCATTTTTTTGTACACTCATAAAAATGATTTTTGAAAGAGATGCCTATAACACTAGCCTTGGCATTGTGCATTCCACTTTGCTGTTTGTGGAGAATGATACGTGTACATGTACATGTTACTGTGGGACAGGTTTCCATCTGTTGAGGTTAAAACTTATGGTAACCGAGCATGTGCATTGTGTATCTTTTTCCTTTTTTGGCATTTTCTGGCTGTTGTCCAATCACTTTGCATTGCCTCCTCCCATGTAGCACAGTTGACACGTTTAGGCCCACACGTTTGACCAATGGGACATGGCAAGCATATTCCTTAACCATCACAAGCCTACATTTGATCCATTTTCCCCATCCCTCCTGGGATACCTTCCATCAAGCATTCTGCAAAGTCTTCTCCACCCTCCCCCACACACACACTTGCATCACTTGGAAGTGTTGGCTAAATTGGATTGGAGAAACCCAATGCAGGGCTGATACAGAATGGCCTAGGGCTTCATTACTTTGGGTGGAGTCACTTTGGGCAGAAAGATGAAACTCCTATGTGATTCAGGGCTGTAAAGAGTGCACCATAAAGTATCATCTGACAGGACATGTGTTGGTATATTGGATTCTGATAAGGTGCCAGTACCTTACATCATGTACATGTACTTACAGTACATGTACCTGCACACAACCATGACAACAGAAACAATGGTATACAGTGCGGTGTGGAGTTTCTCCAGGATTTTCTGTGCAGTCTTTCTTCCAGTTTGGGCTTGAGATAGGCTATACAAATGTACATGTATGTAAATGAGGTTTTGAAATTATTATTTTGGTGAGCTGTACTGTATTACTCATACTTGTACATTACAATACTTTTTTTCAAGGGCAGATCCAAATTTTAAAGGGAGTCAACTTAAGCCCAAAACTTTTTTTGGGGGGGACAAAATTTTTGACATTTGTATGTTACATTTTATGGCCTTTTTTGAGGATTGAGGCAACAGCTGGGTGCTTTCTTACACACTTGGAAGAAAGGGAAAAGGAAACACCTGTACATATGTACTGGTAGACTAAGAAAATGGCCTTTCATTAATAGAGATTTTTGTTTTGCTCCTTGGGGAGTGGCCATGTTAACACAAAACATATGGCATGTTCTTCATAAAATGGACCAAAATGCAACTTAGCATGTCATTTTTCAAAACTTTTAAAAGAGTGGCTTTGATCAGGTAAAATACAAATTAGAACATTCAGATTTAGAAAAATGATTAATTGTGGGATAATTGGGCATACTGTGTACATTTGGTTGGCTACCAGTGCAAATCAACTGGAGTTGAATTCATTTAAAGTTTAATGTCAAAGTATTTGTACTTGATTTCAAAACTTCTCAACAACAAGGGGAATTCAGTATATTTTTCAACCGATGTATTTTAAAGCACGTAAGAAATAACTTAAAAAATAAGCCATGGAAAAAGAGCACAAAATTGACAGAAAATGATGAGAAAAGTTTAGCTCTCTTCATTCTCTTACCGTTTACAATCACTCTCACTATACCAGCATATCTACATGTATTAGGTCTTATACCTTTCATCTACCAAAAATAATTAAGTTTGGCTACATCAAAAATGTGTAATGAGTATAATATGTTCGTTATGAATGTCGTATTTGACAGAATTTTGATGACGCTCAAGAATTTTGACAAAAAATGCATGACGTTCGAGGATGCAGAAAATGCTGTAACATGTAGTGCTTGAAAATTCCACGCGTGATATTCATTTTGCCGTTTATTTTGGAGATATCCCTGCTGAAAATGACCTTAAAAATAACAATTCTGCACATTAGATTTGCATCATGAGTAGTATTTTATGTCTCGGACGTCATTGCTTTTCAAACGTCATTCTGTATGACCAATTTTCTTTCGAGAAACCTTGGTACAAAGAGAAAAATCCCGGAGTGTCTCCATTCTGTGGAGGGGCTCATGAATATCGAATGAAAAAGAGGGTGCACGATTTGGGTTGATGTCATTGGTCCAGATATCAGCCATGACTTCCCTCATTTCATCAGACATGGGGAATTAATTCACCGCTGTTCACTTCAGGAAAAATGAACCCCCAAAGTTGAACATTATCTATTGGTCCATATTTTGAAGAACGTTCCATATTGATCTGATATGTGCATCAAATTTTGTACACGTATGTACATGTATGTAACAGTCAAATGGTGGACCGGTAATTTTACCCACTAATCAGTACACATTCAAGATGATTTTTGCCCATGAAGACATTACCGGTGTTAAGAATTTGCAGTGGCCAGTGTTGTCAAGTCCTCTTTTTCCAAGTCAAGTCTCAAGTCTATTTTTCTCCAAGTCAAGTCAAGTTTTCCCAAGTCAATTGTGGATTTTTGTGTGGGGGGTACATGTGCACTTACCGGTAGTTTTTTTTTTTCAGCTGAAAAACGAATTTTTTTCTGTTATGCTTTCAGATCATGTACGTGTATGGAGTATACAGAATCGTCACCGTGCTGAACAGTAAATGATAGTGTCTAAGAATACCCACTCTAGATCTTAGCATGCGGCACTCCCTCGCGGGCTCGATTGCATAATGCATGGACAACCGGACAGCTACAGTAGCTTTTGCGATCGCTAGCCGATAAAGATTTGCATTGAACAGGTGTTCTCAACTGAACATTTGCAGACACGAAAATGTTTGTTTTTATTATTTTAGCAAACATTTGTCACCAAGTAAAATTACCTAAGTCAAGTCGCAAGTCATTTTCCTCTAGTTTCCTTAATCACAGGAGAACAAAGGAATGTCCACATTTAGTACATGTATGTAAAACAGATATGGGTGAATAGGTGGTGGGAATAGTACTGGTACAGGCAGCATATAAATTGGGCTAGCTACATGTACATGTATGTCGGGGAATCTGACTGAAACGGGGTCCCCTGCGAATAGGGTCTGTTGTTAACACTTGCAGTGGAATAGGCATAGTGGACATACAGTGTACATGTCCATACCCTACATGTTCAGATAGATTACATGAATCTTTAGATGGTTACATGAATCTTTAGAAGCTACATGTACATGTATATGTACGTGCACCGGTACCCAGATACATGTACATGTAGATACATGTATTTCTCAATGTTACATGTAGTTTTCAATGTTTGTGCTCCAGTTTATGCTCATTTTGCATACTGGTAGTTTTCATCAATGTAAAATATTTAAACCTTTTCACTTCTGTTTTTTATATTGTTCTTTTGCACTGGTTTATTGAAAATGCCAGTTAAAGAAACTGTGTGTTCTTAGCTTCAAATGCTTGTTTTGAAGTCATGCATGTCAAGTGCTATGTACATGTACACGGTACCATACCATGATAGTACTATACCCATTACCTACATGTACATACATGTATATGCAAGAAAAAAAACTATTGGACACAACAGCTAGTAATAACAATTGCTAAAATCAATTGACCATAAATGGGAGAAAGTCCCTTCTCCTGTTACACTGAGACCCATGAGCAAGCTATAAGCCAAAAGCACACAGTCTTACAATTGAAAAGTATTTACAGATCAGGCTTGAGATGTTGGTTGAAAACAGCAGTGGCCTCGACTTTAATTTTATTTGAATGGGTTGCCTGGGTAACACAATCCCATCTTTGGAGGTTTGAGAATGTGTACACACAAGTACCATCCATCTCGCAGATGCCCAGCATTGTATTGACGAAGTCTTCATTTCATTTGCTCTGCAGCAAGGAAGAATATTAGGGTACACCATCATCCTCTGTACATCAGTAGCAACAGAAAAGAAAAGAAATAGTAAGGTTGCAGTCAGTTACTGTATCCATCACATGTAGCACGTTGCTCCAAGATCCTGCTCTGTGGAAAAGGCTTCTGCATCTTAAACTGGTAAGCCCTTATGTTAGCAAATTATAATATGTACGCGTACCCTGCATAGGTTATTAGAAATGCATTCACTAAGCACATTACATAAATTGTATATGTACATGTACATGTATGTTTACAGCCTACACAACTGCTTAGGTGCTTTGGCTATTCGTCAAAAGCATCGAGATCAATTCTAAAATTGCAACATGTTTTAATTAAACTGTATAATATAAAGTAACTGTAGTACATGTATATATCACTATGAGTGCATGTACCCCAGTACATGTACCGATATGTTTACTGTTCATATTGAGAAAGGTATAGATGTTTACCGGTGCAGGTGTAGGACATTTTCAAAATCAATGTTGGATTTTGAAAAAAAGTCTTAGTGCTGTGCATTTATGCCTATTGAAATGTAAATTTTGTGAGGTTTTGTTGTTTACTTTTGTTCTGTTTACAGTGAATTGAATGTTAATTTCATTTATACTATTTAAGGCAATAATAATGAAAAGTAATAATGAATTACCGGTATTTGGGGTGTTGCACACACAGTCACCTGACAGTGGAATTACATGTACCGGTAAGTACTGGGGGTATGTACAGGGTGACAGTGACCCCAAAAAACACAACCCAAGAACAACATTTATATTCTCCCAAATTAATTGCCAGAAATTGTTTGGTATCAAATTGAAGCATAGTATGGCACATGTACTAGTATGTATCTTTTCAAAATTGAATCCTTCATTCAAATTTGATGATGTGTTGTGGAGGTGTTTTCAATTACATGTATCTTACGTACATTTGATTGGAATGAAAGTTATATGTACATTGTATGACATACAGATTATCTTGCAAGTGCACGTACATGTACTGTATATGTAGTCACTAAATTCAAATCACCAAATGATCACACATCTGTTTGGATTCCTTTTATTTTATGTCTAATTCTAAACTTGATGAAGGCAGTGGTTGCAATTTTGTTTATATTTAATTATGCAGTTTAGAGTTCAATGAGTTTGTTTTAGAGTAAACAGTTTAAGCCGAACCACAGTTTACCTCAGTTACATGTAGTTGGTAACAAGGTGCTGATCTTATTTACTTGACATTAACCACTTTTACCCATTTCGGGATACTGCTCATTTGTTGATGGTAAACAAAATAAGTTTTAACAAAGCGTAACAGAATGTGTTAAGTGGGGTATCCTCATTTCGCTGGCCATTCCATGGATCCCTTTCCCACGTTAAAACGTGTTAACATGCGTACATTTTGATTGCTGTGACAGGTAACTCTCGTGGGACAAACCAAAAAGCACTTTTGTCTTCCATGTATGTAATCAAGATTATCTCCATCATCATTGTGTTTTGAAAAGACGACATCCTGAGCTTCAGTTTTGTTTTCATTTTTTGGTGAGGGGATATCAGCTACAACAACTGGATCTATTGGATCCAGTTGTTAAACACTGTAAAATGGCAATACAGACAAAGCAGGCACAAAGTATAGTAATCTGTATTGCCAAATAACACTCCATCTTGCAAACATTTCATTAACCCTAACACTCCTCAGTCCTCCAACAGGTGAAGGATTGAGGAGGGTTAGGGTTAAAGATGAAAGTATTCTGGTCCTGGCAAGGAACCCTTAGTTTTACCGGCATACATGTCCCCCCATGTATACCTGTACTTATACATTATGTGAAATAATAAAACTGCAGGGTAAAGGATAAAAAATTTGTTTCCAATTTGACTTTATATCAAATAGCATCATAATTATTGGTGGGGGCAAAGTCCATGCAAGCTATTGGGTTTAGAGCAAATTCATAAGACTAGAAGACGTCTTTCATGATTTTTGGTTGCCACACAGCAGTCTGTTGCTTGCTCTTTGTAAAGACATGAAAACTTTCTGTTTGCAGACAGTGTACATGTAATTTTGTTCATTTTGCCGTTTTTGAACAAGGGGAATGTTGTTCACAATGTCCTACCGGGTATCATCAAAATTTTCAAATATTCAAATACCCCTATTATTAATATTACATTGTACATGTACATATTTGGAAAATTGCTACATCTTCATACTATACTGGTATCATTGTTTTATTGTTACAGTCATGACAGTGTACATATATTTTTATACATGCATATATGTACATGTTTTGTTTTGTTAAGTTTTGTGGAATCATTTATTGCTGCCATTATTGCTGAGTGTACTTGTACATGTACATGTATGTGCTGGATACTGTAGGCAGGTACATGTTGGTGTAGCTCTTGAAACCATGAAAAACCATAAATTCGCAATGCATTTACATGTATACAGTGCACAGCTGCATGCATCACTGAGGTTATTGGTTTGTTGACTCATAATCCTCTCATTAAATAATCAGACATGTTCAAGCGAATGGAAAAATCAAAATTGAAATTTTATAAATTTATATACATGTACATGTATGGTGGCCTGCTCAGATGGTGCTTTTGGTATCAAACAAATTGACGTACAGTATCAGCAGCTTGCTTGTCATGTACTGGTGGCTCAAAGGCAACATCCATGTACTGGTACATGTACATGTATGTAATGTGGTTTAGTTGTCCATTTTGATTTCTCAGAATATGAATGGCGCATGTACATGTATGTACAGAATGTACATGAATGGCACATGTACATGTACACAGTGATCACTTCGTATCACAGTTTGCCAATGATGGAAGGTTTTGCATTCATGTACATGTGCAAATTTGTTCTGAAGTTTCAACATTATATTCTCTTCCATTCCTTTTTGTGCAGTGGCCAATCTTTGTTTTCACAGTTTCAAGTGGTACTCATACAAGTATACTGCTGTACATGTAGGGCATTAAGGAAAGCTCTTACTGTGTACATGTACATGTAAGTTTATGATCAGTCTACACTGATCCAAACTACAGATGTCTTGTTAAATTATATTGGTGTATGTCATCTTCCGTTGTTTAGATGGTGAGATTCATGAAGTCATAAGTCAGACTTCATGAATGCCATCTCTACATTTATCATGTGCGAAAGATGTGTGAACATGACATTCTTGTGGTGGGCCTTTTTTTCTAGTTGGTTATACAGGCATTGGCTGTGGGTGTGGTATCAAACGCTATGACCCTACTTAATTTGCATTTTGTACACCTGCATTACATGAATGTACATTTACATGTATAGATGTTTGCCAATTAGAGTGTGTGGATTTACGGTATATCTACATGTACCAGTAATACCCTTAATACATGTAGATGTACCCCTGTGCATGTGGTGCATGTATGTATGTACTTTGATCTGAAGTCACAGCTTCAACATGTACATACATGTACAAGTACATGTAGATGTACCGTTCTTGTACTGTACATGTACATGTACATGTACCCCTGTGCATGTGGTGCATGTATGTACATGTATGTACTTTGATCTGAAGTCACAGCTTCAACATGTACATACATGTACATGTAGATGTACCGTTCTTGTACTGTACATGTACCCCTGTGCATGTGGTGCATGTATGTATGTACTTTGATCTGAAGTCACAGCTTCAACATGTACACAGTACATGTAGATGTACCGTTCTTGTACTGTACATGTACGTACCGGTACATGTTACCGTAGGTGCCATAGACAACAGTGATACATACATGTACAAGTACATGTAGATGTACCGTTCTTGTATACGTATGTACGTACCGGTACATGTTACTGTAGGTGCCATAGACAACAGTGATATGTACATGTACCAGATGTATCCATGCATTAAAAAAAAGGAAAGTTACATTTTTCCAGGGACCGGTAATTGAGACATACATGTACGTGTGAATACAGGTACTTTTGTTTATCATTCATTTTCTGTTCAATGTTAGCCATCAATGACTTTGGGAAAAATTTCACCTTAGAAAAATAGATTTAAAGAGCATTTATGAATTTGTCCCAAATTCTCATGAGTACAAACCAGTGGTTCCTTTGGTGCCTTCGAATCCTTAATTATACCGGCAAGTACATCGTGTAACTGTGCAGTTTAAACGGGCAGGGCATGCAAATCATGATTCAAGTTGTACAGGTCTATTTTGGCCTCTCTGTTGGCCTGAAACCTGCATATACATGTACATGTATGTACTCACAATTAACATGACCTCTAAAAACAATAAAAGCCAAGTTATTGGAATACATGTATTCATAAGACAGTGCAATGCTGTCATTCGAAAGTGTCATTCATGGGAAAAAAATAAGTACAATGTACATGTATGTAAGTGTTCACAAGGTTTCCCTAACTTTAGGAATTCACAATCTTGGTGTGCTTATTGCCATGCCAACAGCTTGTTGCTTGCATTGTTTGGCAGTGACCATTATTGATCCATTGTGCATGTTCCGGTACATATGTAAAGTTCTGCTTTCTGTGGTATATTTCCCCCACATTAATCATTTCTAATTGATGATGATGTCAGCAGTTCCATTGTTAAGAACTGCCAATTAAAAAAGGCCTTCTTTTTAAATTAATTTCCAATATCTACATACCGGTATATACTGGTATTTGTGAAATCCTGGTGGGGACCTTTTGCAGCTTTAGAATTTCCTTATGGATACCTTTTTAACCTACACATATACATACCGGATATTTTCCTGAGTGTCTATGAAACACTACTGGTATACATGTACATACATGAACCGGTGTTTTGAATCACAGCTACCCATAGCCATACATGTTCGTGATATATTTTAGTTTATTGCATCTTTGATACGATACGATACGAGTTTCAGTGGTCTGGAAGGTCATGCAACAAGTAAGTAAAAGGCAAATCAACTGTAAATAATGCTGCCTTATAAATACATGTACGGTATCATTTTCCTCATGTACATACATGTACTTGTACATTTACAGTCATGAACTTTTGGGTCTAGAGCTGATCATGGCCTTTGGCTTAGGCCATTATCATTGCCAGACCCACATCCGAATTTAAATGTTACCTGTAGTTTAAAAACACTGCGTCACACTAAAAGAAATTACATTTAAGTTGCCTTTCAGACTT